AAAAAAAAAGTGTATATATATATATATATCCCTAATCTTGGAACCCTAAACCCTAAACCCCAAGCTCTTGCTCAAGCCCTTTCCAGTAGGAGAGCTGACACCTGCTGAGCCTTGAGGGATGGTCCTTCCGCTGCAGAATCTCAGGGATGTTTCTATGGGCGAGACCATAGATCTGGTGGTTCTGGTTTCCGGGCATTCAGATAGCTTGTCATGGGGCCGTGAATTGTGGTACGACATTGACTGCAAAATCACAGAACCTCTCGCTTTGGGGGTTTGGACTTTGTACAATTACGTGGTTGAGGAAAGAGAGGACTTTATCCTGGCTGCGAGTGCAAATTCGAGGAGGTTTCAGAAACCAAAAGCGGCGCTTACACCGACAGTGCCAGTCAAGGAGATTTGTGCAGGCATGGGAGGCATCACAATCGGTGCACAACAGCTTGGTTTTCGCTCCTTGGTTCTGCTTGATGTTAATCCGCTAGCATGTGCTGCCATTCGTCGTAACGGGGGTCGCGTCCTGCAGATGGATATAACTACGGCAGAAGCCAAGCAACAGCTACATGCAGTTGAACATGAAACCGCCAGCTTGTTGGCGGCGGGGTTCCCGTGTCAACCTTTCAGTCGACAAGGTGACGGACGGGGGTTTGAGGACAGCCGTGCTCAGACTTTTGTGCATGTCTTGTTGGCAACTTGGCTGCTACAACCGGAGGGTCTGATCCTAGAATGTGCGGTGGAGGCCAGTAGTCACCCACTGGTTAGGGTTTTGCTCACCCAGCTCTGTGAGAAGATGCACTGGACTCAGCACCATGTTCGCCTAGACCTTGTTGCACAGTGGCCTTGCAGAAGATGTAGATGGTGGTGCATTTTAGTTCCAGGTGCGAATTCAGGTGCCTTTACTGCTTGGCCGCAGTCGCAGAGTCAGCCTTGCATTCAGGAGGTCATCCCTGAGTGGCCCGTTTGGAAGGAGGCTGAGGTCGCGCAGCTGCTTTGGGACGAGGAGGAGTGCAAACATTTCCTTGATCCAGACTACGGCAGTGACCAGCAACTTCTGAATCAGAAAGGGGTTGCGCCTACCACTCTACGGCCATGCCCGTGCGGCTGTAGAGGTTCCCTATCCCCGCAACGACTTCGGGCCTCTGGGTTGAGGGGTTTTGGGGTTCTAGGTGGGGATGGTTCCTTTAGACACCCCCACCCGCAAGAAGTTGGGCTGCTGAACGGCATCAGCATTAGCTACAGATACGACTCAGACCTCAGAGCGGCACTCTGTTTGATTGGCCAGGTTGCATCGCCTTTGCAAGCAGGGTGGGTGTTTGCACAGGTTCGAAGGTACAGGGAGGATAGGCTCGCGCTGCCTATTCAATGCCAGCCTGAACAAGAACTTGCCAGGATCAAACATGCGCTGCTGCAAGAAAGGCATGATAATTGGATTTTGCTTTCCATGTTCTTGCCCAGAAGCCTGCACATCTGCCCGACTCCAGCAGAGGAGCCTGTGGCGCTGAAGATAGCGACGCCAGTCCGTGTTTCCGATCTGACAACGGCTGAAGCACAGTTGGTGGGTCCAGGGTCCAAGATTGGGGTTTTTGCAGGTAAGCGCCGCCTGGAGCACAGTGCTTTTCTGCATTCAGCCGCAGAGCATGTCTACACTCTTGACAAGCAGCCCAAATGCCAAGCACGAACCGGCGAGTTGCGCCGCTTCTTGATTTGTGTGGATAGCACTGTGCTTGACCTGCAACTCCCGCAGGGGGTCCTGCCCTGCCAGGTCTTAGATGCAGCAGGATTGCCACAGCAAACTTGCCTCAGGGATGCCAACAATCAGCAGGAGGTGCCCAGGTCCGGCAGGCTCTTCGGCAGACAGCTTCTGGATGCGCGAGAATTGCAACAGCAGGAATGCGAATCCGACGCACTCACGGATATCAGCATAGTTAGGTTCCTTGAGGTTGTTGCGAGAGTCATGCCGGCAGGACAAGCCGTGATCTCACCTAGGGCAGCTTCTTTGCTGAGATGTGCCACCAGGGCAGGATTGCACACCTGCTTCAATGGGGAAGAATTGGCCTCAGCAGACTGTGTGCACGTGATTGCGGAGGCCAACCAGCACTGGTTCTTGCTCACTGTTGATCTTAGGCAAGGTCAGGCCACCCACTGGGACCCTTTTCCTGACCGCACGAGTGAGATGGCCAAGTGCCTCTTGGATGCGCTGGGCCACATCCTAGAGGTTGCAGAAATGCCGTTACAGGCCAGACATGTGAGCGCCTTGGGCGACTCGTGCTGTGGCGCAGTTGCGCTTTGCCATCTCATGCTCGCCATGGGTATGATTCACATTGGGTCCAAGGACCTTGTCAACTGGATCCAAGTCTCTGCGTTTGGTCTGTCGGAAGGCCCTGTGCTTCACATTGGAGCGGGAGGGCTCAGCGCAGATAACAAAACCGCGCTGTCAGAACTACTTGTTGCCAAAGGTGTGCCAGAGGACAAGGTCAACGAACGGGTGGCAGATGCCATGTCCAAGGTAGGTCTCCGCAAAATTGAGGAGGGTCTTCGCGCACAAAGGCCCTGGGCTGCGTTAAAAGCTGTTGCAACAGGGGCGGCGAAGCCCTTCCGCTGGCTCAAGGCAGATGAGCTCGAGGCCCAGATTCGTAAGAAGGCCGACAATAAGTTCGGAACAGCAGCAGGTGAGGCACGCACCATGAAGCGTGCAATGAAACAAACAGCTCCCAAACAAGCAGCGCCGCAGCTGGACCCTAGGCAGCTTGTACTGATTGAGGGAACATTTGTCACGGATGATGGCACCGCAGTTCCAGGCGTCAGCCTAGAAAATGTCACGGTCAACGCGCATGGCATCGCTGTCTGCAGCCCGGCGCAAGCACAACCATTTATGGACGAGGATGCTTCCATTAGTGTAGAGCCGCTTGCAATCATCTCCACTGCCCCACTCACAGGCGTAGAAGCCACCAAGCGCAGCAAGCAGGATGTCAGGTTTCCAGCAGTGTGTGGCCCCACCTCGGAGCCTATCTTGGTGGCGGGGACGCTAGTGCAGCTTGGCGACTCCCATGTCAAGCAGGCGGAAAGCCAAGCCAAAGCAGACCAGGTGCGCACTGGGGTCGTCAAGGTCACTGTCTATAAAGACCAGTGGAGAATTTCACGCAGTCTTCGGTCAAATGCCTGATGCAACAGATTCCGCTGCTGAACTTGCGCAGAGGCCAAGGTTGTGGAGCCAACTGCCCGCGTTTCCACGCAAGCATAGACGAGTCGCCTGACACAGTTGTACATGAGGTCTGGGCACGGAAATTCCAGAAAGAGGATGGCACACGAGCCACCCAAGAGCTCGCTACAGCCTTTCACGTCTTCCTCAGGGCGCCAACGTCCGCTGTGGACGGGCTGCAGCAATGCTCGGCGGCAGGGGTCTACATAGAGCCTGACTCACGCCCTGACTATGCCGTGATCTGGCTTCCAGGCATGGACTTCCAATCGGCCATGCACAGCAAGACCAAGACAGACAAGGTGTTGGCCCTTACCCAGCTCGGTCAGAAGTACGGGGTTAGGGTCAGAGCACGGGAGGAGGAAGCAGCCTTTAAGATCTTGCGTCCAGAGCACGCATACTCCAAGGTAAGGACAGTCATGAAATTTCGGCTGCATCCATTACCGCACGGCTTAACTCGCCAGGGATTGCAGCAGCTCTTGGATGCGTGGAAGTGGCCAGCAAAGCCAGGGCGATTCGGTGGGCGCCGCCTGGGAAGTCGGCACCGAACAGCATCCTCCTTCAGCAGCTCTGGCCTCCAGCACTGGATTTGTCTTGCCCATGCAAATCAGCACAGGACCTGCTCCACTTGTCAAGACGGCCATTTTGGCATCAGCCAAAACCCGCAAGCACACGCAAGGTGGCCAGTCGTTCGCCGCAGGTTCCAACGACGATCCGTGGGCACAGGGCCAGGATCCATGGTCGCTTTATAGGGCAGCACCCTCGGAAAAGCCTCGCCACACAGCCGAAGCAGCCACGAAAATTCAGGAAGTCCATAAGCAACTGCAGCAGGAAGTCGCCACAGCTGTCAAAGCCTTACTTGCGGAGCAAAGTCAGGCGGGGACGGACACGGAGGCCCGCTTTCAGAAGTTGGAGAGCAGTGTTGCTGAACTCCAGGCACATGGACGCAAGTTTGAAAATTGGTTCTCTGAAGCCAGCAAGCGCATGGAGCAGCAATCTCTTGAGGTAGGTGCAATCAAGCAGGCTGTAGGTGCGCAGCAGCAAGATATTGCACAGCTCCCAGGCCAGGTTGCATCCCAAGGAGAGATGGTCCAAAACACGGTCAACCAGGCCGTGGTCACCATGCGCTCGGACCTCAACTCCCAGTTGACTACACAGCTCAGCGCGCAGATGGAGCAAATCCAAGCCCTGCTCAAAAGCAAGCACCGTGCTAATTCGCGCGAAGGTAGGAGCCGGTCTTGACTAGGGCGCCACGGCTGCGTCCCTGGAGCACGACGCAGGCCGCTGCTCAGTCTTGGCTCCTTTTTGCACTGGCTCTTCCTTTTCACAAGCGTTTTTCAAGGTTCGGCGTTGCAGCATCTGCCGCAGCATGAGGTTCGCATAGGTGAGGCCCGTCACCCAGGTCCGGAGGACATGGACGCACTCCATTTGTTTGCCACGAACCCCACAGGCCTCAGGGGTAAAGAGTCGGTGTTGGTTGAGTTAGGTAAAGGCATTACCTTGGTGGCAGAAACGCAGCTCTCTAGTCACACCCAAAAGTCGTGCCGCAGCCAAACGGCAAGGTTAGGTCGGGAATGTAATCGGCACATTCGTGCCCACTACGGCGCTCCTGCGCCGCTGCGAGGCCAGTCCAGCTGGGCTGGGGGATGGACAGGTGTGGCCATGTTCAGTGAGTATCCCTCGAGATCAGTCAACATCCCTGAGGTATGAGAAAGGCCGCGTAGCCATTGCCCACCACCACGCGAGCTCCTTGCCAATCACAACTGCGGTGGTGTATGGTGTGCCCAAGTCGCAAGCGCACCCACAAGCTCTGGCTGAGACGGAGAGCATTTTGGAACCTCTCACAAGAGAGGTGGTGTTGGGCCGACATGGCCCGAGAATAATCGCGGGGGACTTCAACCATCCCACGCATGCCTTGCGGGACTTAGGCATCTGGATGGAAAAGGGGTGGGTCGAACTCCAGAGTTTGGCACTCGCCAGATGGGGGCGACCCATAGAGAACACGTGTAAAGAAGCCTCCCGCCATGATTTCATATGGCTATCACCAGAAGCAGCCGCTCTTTGCCGATCAGCCGATTATCACAGAATCTTTGCCGACCATATTGTTTTGGAGGCAGTCCTTTATGTCCCTCCTACTTCAGGCTTCATCCGCACGTGGCCTCGGCCAGCAACTGTGCCTTGGGAGGACATTGACATTGAGAGTTGGCATGTTAGTGCGACACCTTTGGCGCGGGAGGACATTCCCGAGGACTCCTCGCAATGGTTCCAGGATTTCACACAGTGCTGGGAGCAGAGCATTGCGGCCCATTCAGAGGTTCAGGAAGTCAGCATCCCGGGATCATGCACCGGCCGAGCCTCCCGTGTTGCACCGGCTACCCGCGCAGTGGCCTCAAGCATTCTGAAGGCCAGTCGGCCGGGTGAGGTCACTTTGAAGCATGACTTGTTGGGACGAGAGGTTAAGAGATGGTTCCAACAACTCCGGCGCCTCCAGAACCTAAGGAATGCTCTGCGTGGGGGTAAGCAGAGCGAGCAAGCACAAGAATACCGTAGATTGCTTTGGAGGTCAATTCGGGAGGCAAAGGGATTCAACCCTAACTTCCTTGATTGGTGGCCCAGACGAGCCGCTCAACTTCAAGGGTCACCAAGCAGTCTGCATGGCATGCCAGATGTTGCGACCGCAGAAATTCTCTTTGAAGACTTTCAGTGCAACTTCCGCAGATTGGAAAACTGGCACGCCCAACGAAGAGCTGACATTTTGAATGCCAAGTATGCCGAGTCCGCCAGGACCCTCTTCACGGCATTGCAGCCAGAGAGACCGGCGGCCCTCGACACTCTGGTTGTGCAAAAGTCTTTCACAGTCTTGGCAATCAATCGTGACACTAGCCAGATCCACCTCGAAGGCGAGCCGGGCACCCAAGGTTCTTCATGCTTCAGGGTTGATGGGGATCGAATCCAGGTGGTGGAGGTGGATGGCCCGGTTTGTCAGGTGGCAGCGGCAGATTTGCACTTGCTACAGGAAGGTGCAGAAATCGAGCAAGAACAGTTTATCACAGAGCCGGACTCTGTATTTCATGAATTCATTAACCTTTGGCAGCCGAGGTGGAACCAGCATTCGGATGTAGGGCCTGACCATTGGTCTCGCATTCTGAACTTCACTCGGTTTTTGACGCCAGTTGCCAGTTTTGTTTTTCCGCGAATCCATCAGGATCAGTGGCTCCAAGCGGTGCGAAGAATGAAGCGCAGGGCGGCACGGGGGCCTGATGCATACGCACGCGCCGACCTGCTCCACATGGCGCCCTGCTATGTGGCGCAACTGCTCCACTTGCTGCAGGAAATCGAACAGGGTATAGGTGTCGTTGGCCCTTACAGATGTTGCAGGGGTTCGTGTGCGCTGTAGATAAACAGAACGCAAAATCTGGAGCAGACGCATATAGGCCAATTTGTGCGCTCTCCGTGATTTACCGTGTGTGGGCCTCGATCCGCACAAGGCAGCTCCTCCGTGCAATGAGCCATGCACTTCCAGAAGAAATTTTCGGGTTCGCGCCTGGCAGGGAAGCCGCGGACTTATGGTTCCGCCTACAAGCCAGAATCGAACTTGCTTGCCAGCAAGGGAGACCGCTCACAGGCTGCGTGGCGGACATTGTAAAAGCGTTTAATGGGCTCCCTAGAGCGCCTTTGCTACAGGCAGCAGCCAGGCTTGGTTTTCCATTGTGTGTCTTGACACCCTGGGTCGGATTCATTTCCGGGGTCCAGCGCAGATTCATTATGGGGGAGGCTGTGAGTGAAGCTGTCAGTTCCTGCTCAGGCTTTATTGAGGGAGATCCCTTGTCAGTCACGGCCATGACGGTGGCTTCCATCCTCTTCCATAGGTATCTACAGGTGTTCGAGCCTTGCATTCAACATGCATCGTACGTGGACAATCTGGCCCTGACGGCCGATTCAGTGTACTATGCCGCAAAGGGGCATATCCTCGTTGAAAGCTTTTGGCAGATGTTGGGCCTGCAGCTGGACGCAAGCAAAACATACTTCTGGGCAACCACTAAGCCTGATCGCAAGCTGCTAATTGCACTTGGGCTCCAGGTGGCAGAGCACCAGCGAGAACTGGGAGGCTTCCTCAACTTTGGTCCCCGTAGACGCACAGTTGACCTCCTGCGTAGACTTGAGCTTTTGCAGCCTTTTTGGCACGTGTTGCGGTGCAGCAAAGCCCCGCTTACTCAGAAATGGGCTGCCGTCACCACCAAACTTTGGCCCATAGTTTTTCATGGCACAACGGCCTGTTGGCTTCCAGCGGCACAGCTGGACAAGCTGCGCACAAAGATGGCCTGGGCCTTGGGCTGGACTTGTGCTGGCGCGGGCCCGGATCTGCGGGCACTCACGGAAGGGCCGATGGAGTTGGACCCATGCTTCTTTCAGATTTGGTCCTGTTTCAGGGATTTCCGTAGGTTAGTCCCCAAGTGTGCCGGCCTTTACAGGGACTGGGTTGAGTTTTTGGAGGGTTTTGATGGTAGGGGTTTGGCCGGACCCTTCAGCACCCTCCTTCACCACGCCCATTCCCTAGGCTGGGGGTTTGCCGAGGCTCCCTTTCTAACGGACCACAGAGGTTTGTCGCACAACTTCCTCACGATGCCCAAAAGGTCCTTGTATTGGCTACTACAAGACGCCTGGGCCTGGAAGGTGTTGCAGAAGCAATCTGTGCGTGCCGGTTTGGCAGATGTTGGCAAACTGGACATCCATTTGGCCCGAGAAGTGGGACGGAAATGCACAGGGCAACAACGACAATGGTTGGGCCAAATCAGGTCCGGTGCAGCAATCACTGCAGCCCAGCAGGCAAAGTTTGACTGCACGAAGATTTCCACTTGCTTGCATTGCGGGGTTGAGGATGATAAGTGCCATCGTCTCTTCGACTGCCCTCAGTATGGAGAGCATGACTTGGCAGCAACTGCATTGGACACTAAGGCGCTTTGCAACTTCTTGTTGCCTTCATGGCATGAAGATCTGGACGCGCATCTCCGCGAGCTGATGGACGTCCAAGATGGCAGCTGGACATGGCAATGTGGCTCTGGAGGTCTTGAGCATGTGGACATTTTTACTGATGGTTCCTGCCAGCATGGAGACGAAGACATCCTTGCTTTGGGGGCTTGGGCCGTGGTGGGAGCTCAGTTGGGGCAAATCATTGCTAGCGGGGTCATGACGGGCATTTGCCAGACCATTGACCGGTGTGAGCTGTTAGCTGCAGTTGTCGCACTCAGGTGGGCGGTTGCCATGGGGTGTGGGATCACGCTTTGGACGGACTCAAAATTTGTCTTCGACGGACTTCGCTCACTGGTGGATGGGCTGCAGCCACAAAGTCATGCGCACCCGGATCTGTGGTTGGAGGCGAAAACACTGCTTGAGACTTGTCACGCCTTCTTTGTGCAACTGGTGCTGTCACATGTTGATCCGGACCTGTGTGAGGACCCAGTGGCCGAGTGGGCGACATGTTGGAACCGTGCTGCGGACAGACAAGCAAGCTTCATGAACTACATGCGCACGTTGCAATTCAAGCAACGCCATGGACGGCTACTGCAACAACGAAAGCGGCAAAGGAGACGCCTGAAGATGCTGCAAGGCAGGTATCTTCAGATTGCAGAGCATACGCTCGCTGCTTCACAGACACCTAATGCAGACCCTGAAGACGTCATGATAGGGCATGTACAGCGCCCGGAGTGCATTTGTCATGATAGTTTCGCGGATCTTTTCCCAGTGGATTGGAGAAAGCTTGCCACCATAGGTGGTGGCTTTGAGACCACAGAAGGGTTGAGAATTTTGCAGTTGCTTGTCTCAGGGGATGAGAGTGCGTTGACCAAGTTCAGGGTTACGTGGATTGAGTTGGTCTTTTTCTTGGTTGGTTCTGGTGGTTGTTCCAAGGGCAATCGCACCCTCGCTTCCTGGGTAACGAGCATTCGAAAGCTTGTACGGCCTTTCCTACTTAGTTTTGGGGCTCGTTCTTGGCTTGTTTGGAGTGGTTTGGAGGGGGTTTCTTTTTCTTTGGAAGCTCTTATTGTTGGTTTCGATGTGGACGATCTCATGGTGGCGAGACGACAGTTCCAAGAGTGGAGAGGCGGTAGAAGCATCAGAAGAGTAGCGGATCTCGCTCGTCCCCTGTGAACACCACAGGGTTCACAGACCGACCAAGACATGGATCTTGCAGCTACCGCACTGCATCTGCCGTGCGAGCTGCATGCAAGCTTTGTGTGCATAAA